TAAGTGTTATGGTTATCAAATAGTGGCAGATGGAGAAGAAGTTGTCTCCTTGTGTGGGACAATGTAAATAAAAACTAATTTGACCTGGGGCAGTCTTTATCAGTATAATGCAATTAGCTGGAACCTTGAGCAAATTCAAAATCCTACAAGCTAGGCTTCAACAATACATGAACCGAGAACTACCGGATGTACAAGCTGGGTTTCGAAGAGGCAGAGGAACTAGAGATCAAATCGCCAACATTCGCTGGATCATGGAGAAAGCACGAGAGTTCCAGAAAAATATCTACTTCTGCTTCATTGACTATGCAAAAGCCTTTGATTGTGTGGATCACAACAAACTGTGGCAAATTCTTAAAGAGATGGGAGTACCAGACCACCTTACCTGTCTCCTGAGAAATCTGTATGCGGGCCAAGAAGCAACAGTTAGAACCGGTCATGGAACAACCGATTGGTTCAAAATAGGGAAAGGTGTACGACAAGGCTGTATACTGTCACCCTGCTTATTTAACCTATATGCAGAGTACAATGGAACAACCGATTGGTTCAAAATAGGGAAAGGTGTACGACAAGGCTGTATACTGTCACCCTGCTTATTTAACCTATATGCAGAGTACAATGGAACAACCGATTGGTTCAAAATAGGGAAAGGTGTACGACAAGGCTGTATACTGTCACCCTGCTTATTTAACCTATATGCAGAGTACAATGGAACAACCGATTGGTTCAAAATAGGGAAAGGTGTACGACAAGGCTGTATACTGTCACCCTGCTTATTTAACCTATATGCAGAGTACAATGGAACAACCGATTGGTTCAAAATAGGGAAAGGTGTACGACAAGGCTGTATACTGTCACCCTGCTTATTTAACCTATATGCAGAGTACATATGGCAAGCCTAGATAGCATATTAAAAAGCAGAGACGTCACCTTGAAGGGGAGGGACTTGCGATCGGGAATGTATATAATTAGGCCGGAGTGTGTATGTGGGTGTGGCTTATTTGCAGTGAAGCCCACCAGCCTTTGCAAACGCTTCCAATAAACTTTACTTCTGACTAACCCAGAGAGATTTGTGGTGCTTGTTTCACACACTATGAAATAATGGCTGGGCTCATACAACACCCATGCTTAACTTAATCATGATTTTTTTACTCAGGCTGTTTTTCTGCATTTGCATGATACTGAACTATAAAGTAGCCAAACTGGATTTGCAGAATACACTAAAACATGGTAGTTGATTTGTGATTCGGCATGTCATATGAATGCAGCCAATTTAGCTGGCTTTGTCTTGGCCACAATCATTTTTAACCATGGCTTATAGTTTAGCTAGCTTTGTGAACACAGCCCAGATCTGTTAAGGGTAACGCTGTTCTCATCACTTGCTCCTAGCTAGGTTGGAGATGATCCAAATCTGGAGGGCCAAACATTGTCTAAAGACTCATTCTTGCACTAAGATATTACAAATTTCTTGTCTGTCTTACAACAGGCAAAAACATCATAGACATTCAAAGTCTCCAACAGCAAAGCAAATTTCTTTCTCTCTTTTTGAAAGGCAGACTTCTTAAGACTTCTATTGCTCTAACTGAAACTTGCAAAATGGGTAGTCAGTCTTGAGAGGCCTAGGCTTTCTGAGGCATGCAACCAGATTACAAACCCAAGACACAAACTGACAATAAAGATATCTATTTAAAATAGTATTTAGATTTTATTAAGAACAAACAGCAAAGGAAAATGGGTATTTGGCTAAAGGAAAGGATTTAGGCTCGAACCAAGGAAGTATGAGCAAAGGAGCAATGCAGAAGGCAATCTAAGAAGGCAATTAGGCCACTCTGCAAGACTAGCCTGAAGGAAACCATGGGAAGCTTGGTCTAAGTGTGTGGAAAATAGAACCAAACTTAATCATTACTGTCTTTAGTTACTCATTGTACCTAGATTCCATCCTAAACCTGGAAGTTTCTCCCCCATAACATGAGGGAGTTTAGATACCACTCATCCCCACAGTCAGCTCTTGCTCTCCAAAACCATTAGTATACTGTGTATCAGTGTTTCTCAACCTTAGCAACTTTGAGTGGACTGGAGTTTTATCCCCCGAAAATCCCAAGCAGCTATTCCCTCTCTGGG